TGGCTTGCTTATGTTCCTGATGAGAAGAAGAGGGGGAGAGAAACTGCAGACTCAAAGCTTTGACTATTGGCTCCTATTTGCCTATTGCAGCAGAGAGTTCAGGGGTTTCTTGAGAACACACTGGCACTGTCTCCTGAGGGAAATGGAGAAGCTCTGGCATTCTTCCTTTCTTATTGAATCTAGGCTAGCCATGTTAGCATTGGGTATTGTGGTTCACTGGGGAGAAAAGGACCAATTGATAGTCCCTTGTGAAAAAGGGCAAAATAGTTTCTTTTAGCTCATATATAATTACAGATACATCTCTAAGGTGAAGGAAGTGCCTTGTTTGCCCGTGTACAGGACTGTAATGAGCCTCTAAAAGGCACCAAGTGCAGCTAGCCTAACATTATCGCAGATTGAAATGATCCTCAGTGTATTACCCTAATATAGTTAAAGGCTGGTTTTAATGAGGCCACTGTTTCTCTTCTGATTCCTCAGTAGACTCAATATCCTTTCTTTGTTTTATTGACTGAGTGTGATTCCTTTATCTTGGACAATGGTCTTATAGTATAGGCCCATGGTTCACCAAGGAGATCAGCAAAGTTGTGGGAGCTCTGCCAAATCTGTCAGGGATCCAGAGGAAGATAAAGGCAAAGCATACACTTAGCACTTGGTTGATTGACATCCATGTGGTCTTGAACAAGTGGAATTTTGTGGGCATTATCCATTATGACTCTATACGAAGAGCATTAAAGGTCCTTAATTAAAAGTAGAAACCTACAAAATTGATGCAAAATTCACTTTACAAGTCTATAGCCCAGGTTAACCTTGAATTTGTGATCCTTTTGTCTCTGCTTCCTGAGTGCTGTGATTACAGTTATATACCACCGTGCCTAGTTGGGAATCCTCTTACTATATGATTATAGTGTGTTGTCATAAGTTTTATTCTTCCTTTTGTGTGTGTGTGTGTGTGTGTGTGTGTGTGTGTGTGTTGGTCTTGGGGCTTGAGCTCAGGGCACGGGTGCTGTCCCTGAGTTTTTGTGCTCAAGGCTAGTACTCTACCACTTGATCCACAGCTCTACTTCCAGCTTTTTGGTAATTAATTGGAGATGAATGTCTCATGGACTTTCCTGCCCAGGCTGGCTTTGAACTGCAATCCTCAGAGCTCAGCTTCCTGAGTAGTTGTAAGGTAAATCATTCCAGAAGCCACATTTTAAAATATAGAATATTGGAGTCTTTATTATATAGTTAACAGGCTGCAGGCCACCAGTTGTTACAAAGGCCTGCAGCATGCAAATACACATAACCCTGCTAGGAAACATGCTAAAGAGGAAAGAAAGAACAAAAACAATACCAACAAGCCAATTCAGCTCCAATGGAGAGCTGAATTGGGACGCTATGATGACTAGAGATGATACAGGACACAGGACACGATCACAGAGATACACATGGCATGGGGTCCTGGTGGCTAGGCTGGTCCGGGCCTAAATAGTTAGGCACAGGGCGCAGATCCTCCGGAAATTCCCAGTCCCAGGCACTAGACTGACAGATTCAGTAACCTCCTATCAGCCACGTGCCTGCCCCTGCCTCCGGGGATCCGGGCACGTCCATTACCTGGAAGGCAGGTAATGGGGGGGGGGCTTCCTACCCCCAGCATGGAGACAAGATGCCAGACCCTACCATCCACCATGTGGCCAATATGGCGCCGGCCAGACCTGACCTCTTTACTTCACTAGGAGTATAGGTGTGAACCATCAGTGCCTGGCTGAAATTTTATTCTTTAGAACATATTTAAAGTAAATTTTAAAACAGTCTTGGAGTTAGAACAATTTTTCCTTGTTAAAATTATTTTTTCAAAAGGCTTGAAATAAAATGAGGTGTGATTAAGGATTCATAAAAACTCAGTTTGTGTGGGTGAGATTTATACTCTGGCGTATGACACAGTAACTACTTCTAAACTGTAGACTTTATTTTTATTCTGCTATGTGGAAAGAAAGAAAATTTTTGAACTTTGCTTCTGGTTCGATGTTTTTAACATTAGTAAACAAAACTTTATTTTTTTCTGATCATCAAACTACTCATAAAAAGTATAGAAAACACAGGAAATATTGAAAGTTGTAAAGTAAAACTGAGAATAACACCACTAATATAGTTATTGGCTAAAGAAGATGCACATAATGGAGATCTGCTTTTGTAGTGGCGGAAGGAAGTTAGAACTTATTTTTAATGCAAAGATGGGTGGTCGGAAACTAGTAAGACAGCTCTCCTCCACGAGATCATGCAGGGAACCAGACTCCTTCTGTCACATTATTCAACCATTCCTAGAATTCCACTTGCCTTCATAGTCAAAGGCAGCTCTCCATAAGGACCTGACTATAACCAGATGTGGGTAGCAAGAAGGGGCTGGGGAGGGGGGGAAAGGAAGAGGAAGGCAGGACCTAGAAATTCCATGTAACACTTTTGCTGTGATCCCATGGAACTGTGCCACTTGGTCTCACACCTAGCTGCAAGGGACATTAGGGAAAAGAGCTTCTCTTGACATGTGTGTGCGCAATAGCTCAGACTTTTGTTAAACATAGGAAGAAGAGGTAAGCATATTTGGGGGGCCATTTCTGCCACTTCCATCACCCTATAAAACAAAGCTAATATGCTGTTGGCACTTTGAGCATTTTCTTCCAGGTTTTTTTTCCCTAAAATTACATCTGAAGATATTAGGCATAATGCACACTAGAAAATAATATATTTGTGTGTAGTCTGTGTATATATGTTATATATATAAAGGTTGTATATTAACATAGATACATGTGTTATACATTCCTAATGTGTTATACATTAGGAAATATATTGAAACATTATATAAAATATACATTAGAAAATTATCATGTACATCATCTTCCCTTATCTTTAGTGATGTATTTTATGTTCTCCTGATGAATACCTGAATCTACAGATGGTACCAAACACTGTATATATTATTTTTTCCCTATTTATCCATATTTATGATAGCTTAGCTTATAAATAAGCTAAAAGACTATCAATAGAACTACTAAAACAGTGCTATTAAACAGAACTACTAAAATAGAACTATTAAAACAGTGTTCCATCATAGAAGTTATATGAATGTGGTCTCTTTCTCAAGGTATCTTATTATATTATACTCACCCTTATGGTTATGATGGCTGATACAATGAGGTGAAGTAGTGATGCTGCCACTGTGATGGAGTGTGAAGCTACCACCTAAAGGTCACTTGAACACAAGCCCTCCACCAGATCACAACAGTGGGTGTGCTAACCAAGATGGCTACTAAGTCAGGTCACCAAGAGGGGGGTAGTATTATACAATATGGATATGCTGACCAGATGATTCATGTCCTGAGTCGGACAGAGGAAAAAAGTATGAGTTTACATCACACCACTCAGAATGGTGCATATTTTGCCACATGAATTATTTATACCTGGAATTTCCCAGTTCCGAATATTTTCAAACTTTAAGTAATTGAAATGTAGGAAAATCAAAACCTCAGAGGGAAAAAACACTGTATATGTATATATATGTATACATATATATAATTTAGTTGAATAGTAAATATTATTAAATTTACTAAATAAATATATTTAAATATTAAAAAATTAGTTGAGGTGATACTACAGATAACATTTTATATTTATCTTTCTCATGTAACGTAACTATATCATATGCATTTTTTTCATCCTTTGAATTTCTTGCATCCATCGCTTTTTCTGCCGTGTAGAGTTTCTGTTTGACCTAGGTTACATTATCAATAACAAGGTTATTTCTAATGCCTTGGTAGTAATTCTTTGTCTACATTTTTTGTTTAAACAAAGAATTGGTATCACTAATCTAATGTTTAAGACCATATTTGTGTCTTCTGATAAAGAGTGCTAGACTGCTTTCCAGAGACACTGTGCTCATGAACGCTATGGTCGGTAATATTGAGAGTGATGCCCTCAGAGCACCTTGAAAAGGCCTATTTTGCTGCAAGTTCCATTTAGTCATTGTGATCCCCAGGGTTCACTCTCTCAAAATAGGTTGTTTTTTGCCCTTGGCTTGTTTTTTTTCCTTTTGCCTGTCATTAATCATGAGATAATGTTTTTTTTTAATAACTTGAGCTCATTTAAAACATATGACCCTTTATAGTATTCTGGGAATATAGTTGATTGGGTGGAGATTTTAACATACACACCAGTCTCAAACAATGTGACATCTCCGGGAAGAGTGATGTACTTTTGGTCCTAGGCCTCCATGTGAAAATCATTTTCTCCCTTAGTCATAATCCTCTAAATGAGATAGCTCTGTGTTCTGAGTCAGAACAAAACAGGAATGATAAAGTGCTCCCCAAGGCTCTGGCAATCCCCTTTGGGCTGTGCACACTAGAGATTTACAGGAGGAAGGAAACTCCTCTGGGTAGTAGGAACCTTCACAGATATGAACCACGGCAGATGATAGGCCAATTCTAATTAGACCAACTCTGCTCAACTTTCACAGGGGGTATTAGGATTGAAGGTTATAGATGTGGACAACCTGTGGAAGCTGATGCTAAAAGATAGAACCGCTAACTTGTTCTATCTACCCTCTTAAAAGGCCAGATACATAAAAGCTGCATGTTTTCCAACCAGCAAGTATGTTCTGTCTTTGTGGCTTTGGTCCTTCTACATTAGGAGGAAATCTTACTCTTAGTCACCCCACAGTGCCCAGCCTCTGTCATCTGCTTCACCTGGGTTCCTAGGTGGCTTTTAGATTTTTATTTTTTCTTGCAGATTAGTGAATGTCACAAAGAAATGAGCTCCTAGTTCATAATACTATGTTTCATAACAGAAAAATAGTTTATTAAATGTTTCCAGACTCTGAAACATAAGACTATGCAACTCTCTGCCCTTACGACTATTTAGCCCTTATCAGCAACCCTGGCTACAGAAAGAGTTCCCTGCTCTTTCTCATGTTTTATTCGATTTCACATTTTCTGGGAAAAAAAAATATATGTCTTCTGTTTTCTCAACAGCCACTTCTGCCAGTGAGCTTCAGGCTTTCAGAATTCAAAAGGTAAGACTTCTGAAATATTTCTTCTAGGATCTTCTTTAACTTAACCAGAAGTCAAAAAAAGCTTCTTAAGTAGTCTTAGAGCTAGCACATTTAAGCCTGTTATGTTTTATTTTACAGTATTTTTAATCTTCAAATGATTGCATATGCGGGTCATAATTTAACATGTCCATTCATGTGTCTGGTGAATTTTGATCAGGGTCCCCCCTTCCACCATTCTCCCCTATCCAAATGTGGTATTTTATAGGAAAGAAACACTCATGGAATCTTCAATAATGTTGACCTGACTTTGAAATGTAAAGAAAATATTTCTCTTTAATGTTAGTTAAACTTGGATTTTTCACTCTGATTTTTTCCATTATCTTCTAAACATCTGCACTGACAAACTTGTGAAGTTGCTACTTTAACAAAAATATCCCATGGCACTAGGCATGATGGATAGATTGCAGATATTGAGAGCATACTCTGTGCAGGACAGAACTGGAGAGTAATTAGAGCAGAGACGGTAGCCCCTGCTCCTAGATTGATTGTAGACATCGTAAAGCCTTTCTTGCAACAACAATAATAACAAGGAATGGTCACTCTAATGCTGGTGGGGTTTCTTCTGGAAACCCCATTCTAGCTAAATCCACTTGAATCTGGTTGCTAGAATTGAAAGGTCACCATAATCATGTGACAAGTGATAATGTGTCTATTTCAAGCAAAATTGTTTGCTTGGGTCCATGACTTGTATGTTTCATACCATTTTAGAATTTAACTTTACTATGAAAAATACTGAAGCATATGCTGAAACAGAGATAATAATATAATAAACTACAATGTCCTCATTTTCCATTTCTAACAATCATCAATCCAGAGCCAATATTTCCCATTTATATTCTTACCCACACCTCTTCTTTCTCTGTTGGGCTGAACCATGTGTCCTCTTGAGTTTGATGGCTAGATTTTCAGTTTTTTTATTGACAAAACTGTTTAATGTCTATAGCAAAATTCTAATGGAAAAGCATAACCTACTGGTGACCTGATTTAATCAGCTTCTTGGCACTACTATTCCTTTATTCATTTCTTCACTCAGCAAGGCTTATTTACTAGGCCTCAAATATCCCTTAGAATCCATTTTCCTCAATTCATATTTATGATGTCATCAGATTTGGGATTTCCAAATGAGGTAATCCATGACAGATACACTGAGGGAATAAAACACTGACATTTGTCATACAACTTGAACGGTCAAGTGTAGACATTTAAAATATGCCATAATTTTTGAAACTTATATTTGACTCTTTATAACAGCTTCGAAATACAGAAATGCAAAATTTAACAATATAAATGAACCTTCTCCCAACCCTCGGATGAATCTGTTTTATCATGATTGCTTATCCAGTTATCTGCCTCCCATTTAAGAAAAGCTCTGAGAGAGCAGGCGTGGTTTCTAATCTACTAACAATTTTGCCTCCAGCATGTAGCCAGCATGTCTGGCACTTGTTACATATTTAATAAAACTGTTGAATGAACAAAAGAATCAGAGCCAGATGCTGGGAATAGGAAGATGAAAACCATATGGGCCTGGTCCCAACGTGGCTGGTCTTGGGGAAGAGAAAAGCCTAGCCCAGAAGGAGCTCTATGGGTGAGGTATGAGCACAGAGTATAGTCTGGTGGCCCAAGTGGCAAGAAGTACCAGCAGCAAAGTGGTATGATATGCCCTCAATAAGAAGAGGAGGCAAAGGCATCTAGCATAAGGATTTGCGTGTGAAACTATGCAGTCTCCAAAGGGCATGGTGCCCACTGAGAACCTTAAGAAATTTAGAATGACCAGCCAGTGTCTATCCAGAAAGATGTGGTTGAAGAAGCAGGTCATGAGAGTTTGGAGGGACTCAAAGGCTTAGACAGTACCTGTTGGGTGACAAGACAGAAAAAAGGGCCTATAATCAGAAATTTCTTTGAAAGGATGATTCTTTAGGCAGTAGGGTGATAGACTGGATTTAGGAGAACTGATGGATTTACTGATTCTAGATAGGAAAGCATCTAAGTGGCAGATTTCTTATTTTGGGAGATGAGATGGGAAGTAATAAATGGCTAAGCACAGGAAGAGGAGATGGGATTCAAACCTGAGGAGCAGCTTCATCCCTCTGCTTCCTACTGAAGATAGCAGTGCTTCTGTCATGTCTTCCCATCAGAATCTCTGGGAAGCAGCAAAAACTACGGCCAGACCCTACCCAGACCAGTTAAGTAAAAGATCTTTAGAAGAGAGGCCTGGGTACATGTACCTACCAAGGTGCAGCTATGGCTGAGAAATCTCTGGTCTTGAATTTATTAGAAGGAAGGTGTGTGTGTGTGTGTGTGTGTGTGTGTGTGTGTGTGTGTGTGTGTGAGAGAGAGAGAGAGAGAGAGAGAGAGAGAGAAAGAGAGGGAGAGAGAGAGAGAGAGGGAGAGAGAGAGAACACAAGCACATGAGGGAAAACATGAACAAGAAAGAAAGAGAGCATATAAACATGCTTTTAAAACCATCTATAATGTCTGCTACCCTATAGTCAAGCTCTTTGGTTTAATTATCTGGTGTCTTTCAGGGGAGGGCTAAGACATACCTATAATCTATCAAATATTATTAATAATAAGATCATTTCATAAGAATCTAATATTCTCCTCTGATGTTTATGTTGTGTTCTTCATTGTGCTAAGTGCCCTGAAAAGTTTCAAAGCAAAGCAGAGTTTCTCAATGGAGCATGCTCATGTGTTGAAAGAGGTAATTCTTCATAATGCTCTTTGGTCTGCTTAGTCACAAAAGACTGTGGCATCTTTCAGTCCTCATGGTATCCAGAAATATTAGGAACAACTGTGTCTTCACACACAGCCTTTTAAATGAGAGTAGGTATTTCCTACTCTCATTTAAAAAAAACATTATTCCTTCATGCAAAATGATTCGTCTCATTTATGCTCAGGAATTCCCTGTGTGAGTAGTCTCTGTGCTAACAAAATGAAGAAACTAAACAAAGTAGACGAGTAAAAGAAGGCATTGCTTTGTACTGTCAGGGTGATTTTGAGCATATTTGGTCTAATACTGAATCTATTATTTTTAAGTCTGCCTGGAGAAGCATATTAAACAGGAAGCAAGAAAACTGTCAAACACTGAGGTCTAAAGCAAAATCTTTTTAAGGTACCGTGCCAATTGTGCAACAGTAGTAATGAAAAATGTCTGAGTTTTCTCTTGCTTCTGTAACAAATTATTACAGACTTGGTGGCTAAAAAATGAGAGGGATCTTGCTTGTGCTAAAAATACCCAGAAAGGAGTCATTCCTTTATGGATATTCTAAGGGAGAAGCCCTTTCCTTGATTGTGGTTTACAGCTTCTGGAGGTCCCTTCCTCCCTGTTCAAAGCCAGCAATGTTGCCTTTCTGTGTGGCTCTGTACTGTAGTCACTTCTCTCTCTAACTCTAAACTCAGCCAGGAAGGATTCTCTTAAGGACCCACGTGTTAAGATTGGGCACACCCAAATCAACCAAGATCATCTTCCCATTGCTAGATTCTTATGTAATCACATCTTCAAAACTCCTTTATCCAGGTCAGGTTGTATATTAAGATACAGACATCTTTAGGGCCTCTTATTCTATCTACTACTAATCAAAGAGATTAATCACTCAGAAGGGTAGAAATGCTTCAGATAATTCAGACAGGATCAGGTAATATTTAATTATCCAGGATTGAAAAGGCTTTGGATTCCCAAGTTAATGAAGCAAGTCCTCACCTTGGATCTGTAGGTCCCACTTTGTAAGTCCAGGTACTGAACCTTTTTTGTTTTCTGCGAGTGTTTGGCAATGCAGACAGGTTGAAATCTAATGGTCCTTTTCCTGGCTAGACTTTGTGGTGCTACAGGTGTGACCTTTGGAGGGTTTGCTGCTTTTGGCATTTCCCCAGCTCTGAAGAGTTTGCCTAGAGCATAAAGGATACAAAGCTTTGAATAAGACCAAAGAAATGTGAGGGTTTTTATTTTATGCTGTTATGTCTACCTGTCACATGTTGCATTATTTATTAGGCTGAGAAATGTGGAAATGAAGGGGGATCATTTAAGATCTCAGAACTTCACTGTAGGGGTACTTATGTTAGGCAGATTTGAGTCATGGTTTAATTTTCTCCACACATTAGGTAAGTTATCCCTGCAATATAAGGAAACCATTTCTTGCCTGGCAAAGATTGTTGGTTTACTCATTTATTTATTTATTTTTGAAACCCATCTTTGTGACTAGAAATTTGGGGTGGAGATTTTCGCTATTTTTCTAGCAAGCCCCTCTTTCTGCCCACTTTTAGAAAGTTCATCAGTGCAGATTAGAAGTCCAAACCTGGGGCTAGGCTTAGAGAAATAAATGATACTGATTTGCTCCAGTCTGAGATATTTTCAAAGACACAGAACTTCCAGTACTGAAACTGGGAAGATGGCAGGAAATGAGAATAGTTGCTCACTCTAGATGTCTAGTAAAATGGCTCCAAGGGGAAGTAGCTCTCAGGTTGACAAACTGTTAAAACACAACTTTTAATTGTCTCAGAAGGAAGGCCACCTTCCTTCTGGTTTGGGGTGAAAGTTGTGGTAAATCTACATCTTTTGGTAAACTTGTGTCCATCCATACTTACAGTCACCCCTGCACTAGTGAGCTCTGTGTCTGTGGGCTCAACCAACCCCAGATCAAAATTTTAATTGCTTCAGAACTGAACATGTGCATATTTTTTCTTGTCCTTATATGTCCTTATGTATATATACATAAATATATACATAGCACTTACATTGGATTCAGTATTAGAAGTCATCTAGAAATGATATAGGGAGAGAGATATACAGAAAGATACACATATATTTATGCATGTATGTATAGATATACACATATGTGAATGACATGAATATCTATAGACTTTTGGCATCCATGGGGGTCTTAGAAACAATCTTCTAAGATATCAAGAGTTGGTTCAATCCAAATAAAAATAAAACTCCCTAAGATTCAGAACTCAGAAGGACC